ACACCTGATTTCAATCTCTGATTACCCCCCCCACACACACACAAAGCTAAATATGTTTATTAGGTTTTAGATTAAGGTTTACAGCTTCAACACTTAAAAAGCATTCATCCCATAACTCTTCATTTAATTTTTGCATCCCTGTAATTATTATCCAGGAAGAAATTTCGATTGTTTTTGTTCTGATTTTTATGCTTTTTCTCTCTTTGAACAGAATATAAGTATGTCTGTGGAAGGAGATTATACTTACTTGCGAATTAACTTCTATTGCCCAGGCAGTGCTCTGGGCAGGAACGAAGGCAACATCTTTCCTAACCCTGAAGCCACTTTTGTCAAGGAAATGTGAGTCCCCAGGAAGACACCCATCCCCAAATCTCTGCTGGCTGGTGTGGTCACCTCAGGGACATTTCTCTCTCTGTGCTCTGCCCTCCCCTGTGTAGTAACACCAAAGCTTCCCTCAGGGGCCTATTTATTTCTACGATTTGTTTTGCTGACTTTGTATTATTTTGAGGATGGACCCTGATTATGAATCCTCATGAGAAGTTTTATACTTACAACACATATTTTGCAACAGAATCCTCTAATAAAATGTGTATCACATTGGATTCTGTTCCTTCATTATATTGGAATACATTACATGGAATGGGATGGAATTAAGGGCTGTTATGCAAGATTTGAAAAATAAGTGTGATTTCTTTCAATCCCAGTAAGTTAGCTATGATCTCCATTTAATAGAGAAGAGGAAATTTTTTTGAGCCTTCAAATAGTCTCACCATTTACTGCTACATTTTTCTCTTAAGAGACCTTAAGCAAGTTGTATAATACGGTGAATGGGATACAGGTTACCTGGCCTCACTAACATTTCCCCTTTCCTATAGTACATACCGTGCTTCAAATATGAAAGCACCTGGAGAACAGACGGTACCAGCCTTGAACCTTCAGAATGCTTTCCGAATTATAAAAGAAGTACAGAAACGTTACAAGACTCGGGAAGCAGAAGAGAAAGAAAAGGAGGTGAGCCTTGAACCCAGACAGATTTACATTTATTTGAAAAAGATGTGTTTTGGGGAACGAGTAAAGATACACGAGGATCCATTTATTTTCTTACCACTTAGGGCATTGTGAAACAAGACTCACTGGTAATCAACCTAAACCGGAGTAATCCCAAACTGAAAGATCTGTACATCCGCCCAAACATTGCCCAGAAGAGGATGCAAGGCTCTCTGGAGGCCCATGTCAATGGTGTGTACAAGTGCTCTCGTGCACCTTGGCACGTTTGCAGGAATAACAGGTCAGATAATGCAGTAGGACATGGAGCCGTGGGAAGGAATCTCCTCATGCTGCTGGTTAGCCAGAAGAAAGAAAGACTGTACAGTTGATGGTGTTTTCTCTGAGCCTTTTCAAATCGGTAAGAAGAGATGCACAGTGCCTCTCAGTCTAGCCTGATAATACTGCCTGATTCTTTTCCCCAGGTTTCCGCTTCACTTCTGTTCGAGGAGACAAAGTGGATATTTTGTACAATAATATTAAACATGCTTTGTTCCAGCCCTGTGATGGAGAAATGATTATTGTCTTGCACTTTCACCTTAAGGTACATCATTCTTCTTAACTAGCTATGATTATGAGTTCATGGGGCACATGCTTAATGCTCTTTTTTTGGCTTCTTAATGAAATGATGATGAAAAACATCAGTTGTCATACACAATCATCAAGAGGTTTGAGTGTGTGTATAAAGTCCACAATGCCAGACATCAAGAAGGTGCTAAGCATGTTTGTCACTTTCACATTAAATGTAATGATAACCCAAACAGATCTCCGGGCTCCTTTTCCGGAAATAGAAAAGTTTTATTTTAGTCAAAACTTGTTACCATTGTATTTTCCAAAGTCTGTGGAGGCCCAGTTTTGATCACTGCCATTTCCAACATCGGGATGTTTATGTTTTTGTGTTCTTTTTCTCATTTCTTGCCTCTTTGTGTTAGTTGGCTTAAATCTTCTGATGTCATTCTTGTTCTTCCTGCTTATGCCATCAGAATGCCATCATGTTTGGGAAGAAGCGACACACAGATGTGCAGTTCTACACAGAAGTGGGGGAGATCACCACGGACTTGGGGAAACACCAGCACATGCATGACCGAGATGACCTCTATGCAGAGCAGGTCTGTGACATTCATTGTTGTCTCTGTAGTCTAGTGAGGCAGGAGAAGTCTTGAGCTCAGGAATTATATTTTATAAAAACTCCTCATCTTTGTGTGCAGAACAACTCAAATACCTGCTGAAATGCTAAGAGTGCAATAGACTTAGTTTACAGGTTCACCTTGACAATTAAGGAATTGATGTCTTTCAATAATGTGTGCGTATTTGCTTAAACATTTGTTTCATAATTAAGAGAAGTAAAGACTACAAGAGCACTTTGGGCTTCTTCAGAGGAGGTACTATTAACAGTACCATAAAGGTTCTAATTAATATTTTTTCACCCTCAGATGGAACGAGAAATGAGGCACAAACTGAAAACTGCCTTTAAAAATTTCATTGAGAAAGTAGAGGCTCTAACAAAGGAGGAACTGGAATTTGAAGTGCCTTTTCGGGACTTGGGGTAACATTTCTTCCTTTTTGCCTAAACTTGCACTGTCCTCTGCATTTTAAGAAAATGAATTACTTTTTTTAAAAAAATAATAATAATTGAACATAACATATCCTTTTTTCCCTATAACTATTAACCTTTGAGGCTGCATTCCTTCTTGAAAACTTTGTAAGGGTTTGTGTGAGTGGCTGAGACTGAGAGGCTGCCTCTGGAGAGGATTGTCCAGCGAGTCTGTGGAGCTGTTTGGCCTGAGGAGAGGGAAGCAGTTTCATCTGTAACAAACCTCTCCTTTTCTTATTCTTTTAGATTTAATGGAGCTCCCTACAGGAGTACCTGCCTCCTTCAGCCCACTAGTAGTGCACTGGTCAATGCTACAGAATGGGTGAGTTTTTCTTGGCTCCCTTTATTAATTTTGTTTTTGTTTTCATTCATTTTTGTGGTTCTTGAGGATCAAACCCAGGGCCTCTGAATAAGCACATGTTCTGCTACTGAGGTCCACCCCACAGCCCTCTTGCCTCCTGTTGAGTAGGAAAACTGTTAGAAAATAGAAAACTGGATCGTTACTGTTTTGCTCCTAATTATTGTGATTGTCACTTTTGATACTTAAGTTAGACCTAAAGACTTATTAAACAGGGACAATGGAGCACACCTGTAATCCTAGCACTTAGGAGACTAATTTTTCCACATAGTTTCCTTTAATTTGTTCTCTTTGAAGGAAAATTTTGATCTTACAGATGGTTTTATTGGGGTTCTATTTCATACTGCTTTAGTTTTTCAAAAACATCAAGAAATAGTTGAGTCTTTTGTGTTGTTTCTTTTGTGTTTTTACTTATATACTGGAAGTATTTAAAAGGAAGTAGTTCTGTGATGAGGATAATGATCCAGTCTATTTTACAGCCACCTTTTGTGGTGACTTTGGACGAAGTGGAGCTGATCCATTTTGAGAGAGTCCAGTTTCACCTGAAGAACTTTGATATGGTAATTGTCTACAAGGACTACAGCAAGAAAGTGACAATGATCAATGCCATTCCTGTAGCCTCTCTTGACCCCATCAAGGAATGGTTGAAGTAAGTAAATGTCTCTGTAACCGCTAATTGACTCCAAAAATCCTTTATTAAACAATTGAAATGTGGTGTGTTATACATAAATCCATTGACAGTTCAGTACAATGGTTTATACTTGTAGAGCTGCTAATTAGGAAAGTGACAAAGGAGGAACACTTGCCTGCAGGACTTTGGGGTTAGCCCAAGCAACATATCAAGACCCTGTCTCTTTAAAACAAAAAACTCAGGTGGCAGGAGGATCATGAGTTTAAGGCCAGCCTGAGCTATACCATATGACCCAGTCTCAAGAAACAAAAATTTGAGCAATCTTTTAGATAAGGGACTTCCCTTTTTCCTGAATACCAAATAGTTTATAGGTACTTAACATGGAGGAAAATCATTAAGTTTTTTTGTTTATTTGATATATGTATAAGATCTATACACATCTATAATAATTTATTTGCATGTTTCTCAGTTTTATCTCCCTCAAAATACTTCCTCAGCGTTCAGCACACTTATTCTCGCCATGTGAAGCAAGGGGATCTTGCTATGTAGTTTGGGCTGGCTTTAAAATCACTGTGTAGACCAGGCTGGCATCAGCCATTGCGTACCCTACTGCCTCAGCCTCAGAGTACTCAGATACAGGCATGTGCTACTACACCTGCTTCTTGCCACTTCTGAAGCAGTTCTAGAAATTCTCTTTGGTGAGTGTCTTTAAGAGGTGTAAACAAAAACATGGTGAATTCTGTTGCTGGGGGCCATCTCAGAAGGACATACTGTGTGTCCTTATCCACTGGATGTGGTTCCTTGGGGTCGGTCTGTCCCTAGGTCACTATTACCATAAAAGATGAACACTTTGAATTGATTGAAGACATCAAGGCAGCCATGACAGCACAAATAAGTACACTGAGTAAAGAGAACATCTAGAACTGCTTCAGAAACTGGCAGGGAGCAGTAGAACAAGTGTGTTGGAAGTGAGAGAGATTAATACTGGTGTCTTGTCTCCCTCCTTTTTCTTGCTCTATTGCACTGTGTAGGATCTCTAATCCCATGCCAAATAGCAGCTGTCAGTGCAGATGTCGTTGTCTTTGATCTTGTAAGGAAAGAATATAGTCTTTGACTGATAGAATAACGGATGTAGGACTGTTTTTTTTCCTTTTTCTTTTTTCTTTCTTTTTTTTGTGATCCCCTTTATCAGCTAAAGTCCTACTTTGCGAAGAGATAAACATTGCTGGTTATGATGGTGCATGCTTATAATCCCAGCACTCAGAGGCTAAGGCAAGAGTATCATTACAAGTTCATGATCAGCTTGGGTTACATAGTTTAAGGCCAGCCTAAACTACATGCAAAAATCTCTCAAAGAAAAAAATCATGAATGTTTCCATAGTGTTGAGCTCATTTCAGAGTATCTGCCCTGCTCTGGTAATTAAACTTTAGGACATTGAAACTGGCTAGGAAATAATGATTGGATAGAAAATATTTTATGCATTTATCCCCAGCCTACCAATTTGAAATAAAATAAAAACATAAATGAATTTTGAATTTTTCAAATGCTTTTTCTGACTGTTCTAGGTGATGTATTTTTTATTTTTGGTATGGTGGATTATATTCATTGCTTTTTTTTTTTTTTTTTTTTTTTTTTTTTTTTTTTTT